TACGGCTCATTGAAAATTAACCTAAAATTCGTCAAAAATTCATAATATTTCGACGAAGGAGAGGACTTAAAATTAAATTGCATGGGATGTACTCGTCAAATGAATGTAAAATTTAGCACAAAATGTTGTTTGGACACTTATGTAGCATGGGTATTTTTTATTGCTATTTGTGACGTCACAACGTCACATTACTAAAATAAATCAAATATACTTTTTATTTTTTGATCGAAATGGAAAGAGTTACCACTAAAACCACTAATGCAGGGACAGTATGTAGCCGATGTTATCAACATCGGCATGGCGTACCCGCTGGCATCAGCATCACGTGTATAACATCTGTAGCCACTGCCATCAGCACCGGCATGGCGGAGCTGCTGGCCTCAGCATCACGCGTATATCATCCCCTCTAGGACTTGGTTGACGGTTTCCTCACGGGTCGCGAAAAGGATATTGCCATGGCCGTGTTTCTCCATGTGTTTGTATGTGCTGAATTAGGCCTTGTCCCTAGTGTTGACGTATAAATGAAGGAAGGGTGTCTCACGAAAGGGGGACCATCACAGGTTATAGAACAGTTTGAGAGTGAATACTGGCTCGACAACACGTACATAAGGACCGATCTGTGGACTTCTGTTAAAGGCCTTGACTGTTTCCGCTATGCGTATGTATCATACACATTCATGTATAGATATACATTAGTGCCAGTGTATGTTGTTGCTTACCTAAAGCAGTAGGGTATAATGACATTCTTAGCAAACAGTAAAATGTATGTATGTACTGATATGATCTTGTTAGTGAATCTAAGTCGAATTGTAACAGCAATTATGATTATTATTGCATGATTGATATTGTATTCATTGTGTATTGATTACAGGTTTGACCGCATTCAAATAAATTGAGAAGCGAGTACGACGCAGTGGTATCAGTCACCGCGAGTTAACGCAAATAAATGGCGCTTACACAGTATACTTAACAGTGAAGTCTCTCAAATGCGTTCCCATTGTCATCGCTATCTGTTTCATCGTCATCTTCTGATGAGTTGTAGCAGTTCGCTCCACGACAATTTCCACGCGCAGCTCTACATGTCAGTTTATTCTCGTAACACGAACGGACATTGGAATTGCATGGGTTACGTGTTGATGTGAACAGTTGCAGTGCACGACTTCCGTAGGAGCATCAGGAGCAGATACCTAAGACAGATAAAGCATTCGTCCATTTTTATTGATCTTGTACACATATGCTTATTGTTGTGAGGTGGTGAGAGGGGTAGGGGAAGGGGAAGGAGAGGGAGAGGAGGAATGAGGAGAGAGAGGGAGGGGGAGACGGGAGATGAAAGGAGAGGAGGGAAGGGCGAGAAGGAATGAGAAAGGAAAAGGAGAGGGAGATGAAGGGGGGTGGGGGTAAGAGGAGGGGAGGGGAGAGGAGGTGAGGGACGGAGTTAGAGAGAAGGAACGGATGAAGAAGAAGCGGGGATGTAAAGAAAGAGGAAGGAAGTGGGAGGGGAAAGGATAAAATGTAAGGGCGAGAATATAATAAGGGGATAAAGAGAGAGAGAGAGAGAGAGAGAGAGAGAGAGAGAGAGAGAGAGAGAGAGAGAGAGAGAGAGAGAGAGAGAGAGAGAGAGAGAGAGAGAGAGAGGAGAGAGAGAGAGGAGAGAGAGAGAGAGAGAGAGAGAGAGAGAGAGAGAGAGAGAGAGAGAGAGAGAGAGAGAGAGAGAGAGAGAGAGAGAGAGAGAGAGAGAGAGAGAGAGAGAGAGAGAGAGAGAGAGAGAGAGAGAGAGAGAGAGAGAGAGAGAGAGAGAGAGAGAGAGAGAGAGAGAGAGAGAGAGAGAGAGAGAGAGAGAGAGAGAGAGAGAGAGAGAGAGAGAGAGAGAGAGAGAGAGAGAGAGAGAGAGAGAGAGAGAGAGAGAGAGAGAGAGAGAGAGAGGGAGAGAGAGAGGAGAGAGAGAGAGAGAGAGAGAGAGAGAGAGAGAGAGAGAGAGAGAGAGAGAGAGAGAGAGAGAGAGAGAGAGAGAGAGAGAGAGAGAGAGAGAGAGAGATTTGCTGCTTGTAAATATTATACAAAATGCATGCAATCAAATGTGAGAAAAAAACAAGCACATGACACCGCACCTCAACTGTTTCTAAAGAGCATTCAGGCAAACAATGTTAAATGTTTGTTTCATGCAAAATTTCCATAATCCCACGCTCAATTCTGAAGCATGAAACAATAAATTAAAAGATTAAAAGACATTAGAATTGCATATGCACCGATATTTGCTGAAGCGCAAGCGGGAAATCTCAGGAAAATACGTAAAATATGTCCAAATTTTCACGAAATACATAGCTTCCCTTTTACCCATCAAAAAGATTTTGCCCAAAAATTCAGTTCTTGTTTGTTTGTCTGATTTTGGAAAATCTACATAACTTTTGGTACTAAATTTTCCTGTGTACTATTTACTTCCCGGTTGAACACATTTTGAGGCTAAATCCACTGAACTATAGTAGTAGTAGGAGGAGGAGTAGTAGTATTAGGAGTAGTAGTAGTAGTAGCAATGGTAGTGGTAGTAGTAGTAGCAGTGGTAGTGGTAGTAGTAGTAGTAGTAGTAGTAGTAGTAGTAGTAGTATAGTAGTAGTAGTAGTAGTAGTAGTAGTAGTAGTGGTAGTGGTAGTGGTAGTAGTAGTAGTAGTAGTAGTAGTAGTAGTAGTAGTAGTAGTAGTAGTAGTATAGTAGTAGTAGTAGTAGTAGTAGTAGTAGTAGTAGTAGTAGTAGTAGTTGTAGTAGTAGTAGTGGTAGTGGTAGCATAGTGGTAGTGATAGTAGTAGTGGTAGTAGTATTACTACTACCATTGCTACTACTACTACTACTTCTACTACTACTACTACTACTACTACTACTACTACTACTACTACTACTAATAATAATAATAATAATAATGATACTACTACTAATAATAATAACAATAATAATAATAATGATAATAATAATAATAACAATTATAATAATGATAGTAGTAGCAGTAGTTGTAGTAGTGATAGTAGTAGTAGTAGTAGATGTAATAGTAATAGTAATAGTAGTAGTAGTAGTAGTAGTAGTAGCAGCGGCTGAACAGCAGCAGCAGTAGGAGTGGTATTTTTTATAGTAGTACAAATAAACCATTGATAATAGTACCGCTGCTGGTATTAATATTACTATCATTATAGATGTCAATAATTATAATGACAGTTTTGATTACAGTACCAATCAAACTGCTAAAGGTAAAAGCGATGCAGCGGCTGAAAGCGACCCCTTGATAGTGACCCCTTAAAATGCCGGCAAACAAACCTCTGTCAGTAATCGGCCCTGTTGTTAATGAGACTTTTGTGACAGAGAGTCGAGGTGTGTAACTGATTTGGACAAAATGTACATTAACTAGTATTTAGTTAGAGTCTTTGGCTGAGATAGAGTTACAGCGTTTGCCTGATCCCGTAGGTTGCATGTCAAGGGAAGGATTGCAGCGGCTGCGGTGACCTCCTCTTTGCGTTGCAGGAGGAATGCTGCAGGGGAAGCAGGCTCAGCCTTGACTCTTAGGTTTTTGTTTAAATTTGGATTTCGTTTCTGCTAACTAATGCAGTACCAAACCTAGCACTACCTTTTAATCCATTCTAATGATGATGATGTGTATAAGACTTCAATCAGTTGCTAAGGTTGACATCAGCAGAAAAGCTTTAGCTCACGTATTGTCCCAGCCACACCGTGATTAAGTCTCCAAGTCACAAACTTTTTAAACAATCTAAGTTACTGTGACCAGACATTGCCCGAGAGGAGGCTTGCTGGGAGGCTGTGCACCCTGTCACTGCCCCACTAACATTGTCTTCAAGGCAAGATAGGATTGAACCTCGGGAGCACAAGTGGACTTGCGGTGGCACTACAGTTTGTGTCTGCAAATTATTTCATGTATCAACAACTGCAGCTTTTAGTCCTCTACATTAATATCATCTTCAATTTGACCTTGCTTAATCTGCCCAAACCGTAAAGATTATCCAAGTTGTTTTCTCTTTGTAAACATTTTTAATCAAAGTATCTAAGCCCATGAGGAAGTCAAATCATAAGGGATAATCTCTTTCTGAATTGTAGTCACTATCATGGAAATTTATGACAAGTCTGATGAAAATATGCCAAAATAATTTCTTAATATTTTGTAGCAGGTTTGCATGTACTTACTATATATTATTGTTTGAAAAATTTTGTCATTCCCATGATTATGAATAATCTGTTATCATCATCATGGAACCCATCATTATTATATAATTGTCATTATTGTTATTTAACATTATTATCGCATTATTCTTTTCTTTTCATTATCTTCACATTATTAATTAATTGCTATTATTACTACATATTATCTTGAATTTTTTTTTATTTTGATTATCTTCTTTCAGTATTATGTTCTGACCTGGTGAAAGAGAAAGCAAGTGCAGAGGTTTGCAGAGTATAAGCATTGAGAAAATAAGTGAATACATGTTTTCTTACAGGTTTTCTTCCATCAAAGGAGAAGTCCTGAATTTCCAGCATGAACAGGCAGGAATATTCAACAGGATCTCTCCATGCATCAAGAATACTGGGGGGACTTGCATCACTTCGCAGATTAGAAGTCCTATGTGATGGCAATGTAAAACTCTTAGATGGCAGTGTCAAAGTTAGTCGTGCATTACTTGCAGCTGGTTGTCCCTATTTCAGGTCAGCATTTGTACTTATGTACACTTCTATTTAAGTGTATAATAGAATGCTCTTTGAAAGTTAATAGTCAGTATAATGGATATATAATGTCTCAATTACTTTTGAAGAAATAGAAAGCCTCTCTCTCCTTTGATTTCACCCCTTCCTTCACTCTTTTTCCTCCCTTTCAACCTTCTCCATTCTTCCATCTTTTCTTCCCTCTTCCTTCCCCCCCTCTTCCCCCTCTCTCTTATCACACATTGTTGCATTTCAGAGTTTTATATGAGTTTGAAGAGGATGCACAGCAAGGTTTACATCGCACTGCA